TCAAAATGCACTGTGGTACAAAAAAAAATGCACTGTGGTGAGAAATTCAGATAGCGAAAATAAATAAACCTTTGATTTGAACAAAACACAAAGCTTCAATTAAAATGGCATGTAAAGGATATAACTCTAACAGTGTAAGGGTTTTATTTGCAATTACCTAAATATACACTGCATATTACTTTACAAGCTACAGACACATGGTTTTAAAATGTTTTACAATATTTTCATACCTGTGACAGACTTATCAGGTAAAATCCTAAAGTCTTAAATTTCAGAAGGGAATTAACATTTTGATTTTTCATTAACAGATGAGTAAAGAGAAATTTTAGGCACCTGTCCCCAAAGAAATGAAATTTTTACCTTAATAAGAAACTGAAAAATAAGAAGAGAAAAATCCAGTAAAATGTTGCCAAAGAAATCCTTGAGCATGGAATTATTGTTACAATTATTAAGCCATTCCTATCCATCTGACTTTATCACCTGATCAGTATTTAGACTTCATAGCTAAACCATAAATTCCATTGTGTATCTGACTTTATTTGGCATGCTAGACTGAAACCTCAATATCACTAAAGGACAAAACAAATATCTATTCCACAGCTAAGGCATTAGGAGTCGTCACCATTCATTTTACGTATTTTACAGCTGACCCTTGAAGAGGTAGACATCTGTTGTTACTGTCAGTCCAGTATCCTTTCTGTACTATTCCCTAACATCCCACCAGTCCTTATTCTGGCCGATGTAACAGAATCCCAAGTTATAAGATTAAGATTCCACTCTAAGAGTAGTCCTGGAAATACTGTTGTAGATATTGAAGAATACCTCTTTCTCGTGCTACAGCTGGCAGAAGCTTCATAAGAGGAGAGAGAGAGAGAGAGAGAGAGAGAGATCATCTCTGAAGAGGAAGAAGGAAAAAAAGGACAATTTCAAAGAGCAGTCCAAGAAGACAAAGCGAAGTATTTCTTTTCTTTTCTTTCTTTTTAAAAAACCCCCAACTTTATGCACATTTTTACTCTGATACACATAGAGTAAAATCAGTGGCAACTTGTTAAGTGGTTTTAACTCCACTGTGTAGAGCAGGAGTGTAGTGTGTGAGCTCTGCTTTAAAAATTATTATATGAAAGAGCCTGAAAATATAGCCCAAATTAGAAAACGGTTCCTGGTAACCTCACTGACAGATCTAGTCACATACACATTTGCAAGACTTAACTTTGGGCTTTTTACATCAATCAAATATAGTCAGTTTTACTTAAGCCAGTTTGACTGTCTTTGTCATCTACAGCTAAAAGAATTCCAACGTTAATGACAACACTGAAAATAAGGATAAATGTGGGCCTTTTTAATGTCTAATGAATGTCCCCTTATGGATGGATTGATCTAGTGTCTGTGGCAATGGGCCCACGAGTGTCAGAGATGTCAGAGATGACAGGGACGGTGCAGGATAGGACAGGGTTCAGATCTGTTGTTCATAGTCAATAGAAGTCATATTTGACTCGATGACGCTTAACAAGAACAACAACAACAACACCCTTTTAATCCTCACAATTCAGAAAAGTAGACAACTATTACCAATAAATTAATAGTACTTGTTTGAACCATACTATGTAGCAGTCTGTTACGGGCACTGGGAATACAAGAGTGAATAAAATCCCTATTCTCAGAGCTTACCTCCTCGCAGGATGAGATGAGCTTTAAGTAAAAGGGTTGCAGACAACGATATCACAAACTAAAAGGAAATAAGCAATGCGGGGAAGAAATGAGGAAGCAAGAGAGAGAGATGTCGAATTCCCAGAAAGGTCAATTTGCAATATCGGAGCCAGGGATGGAAAGTGGAGGTTATTTGTGCTAAGGTCTGCATCAGGTATCTACCAGATGAAAGAATGAGCAGTGTGGTAGAGCCAGAAGGTGACCGTTACACTCATCCTTGCAATGGCCAGGCTAGAGAAGGGGGACCTCCAACAGGCAGCCCTGTAAGAATGGTGCAAACAATGGAACAAAGAGACGGAGTCAGGCTAGATGTGGTGTCCCCAGAGTTTTCTCATTCAGGTGGGCACGGCTCTGGTTACTGTGACGGGAAAGCAGAGAGCAGCATAATTTAAGAAGACAGAGAGGAGATAAAGTACAGGTCAGTTAAACCTGCCTTCAGGATATAAAAAAGACTCACACTGTTTGAAAGTTCACTTTATGCCATGTGGCTTTTCCTAAAGACCTCCATTTGTACCAAACTTCATTCTTTTTTCTTTCTAATTGTCGTTGAGGCAGAACTGAAGGATAGCTGACCTGCAGGTAGACCCTCCCTGAGCTGTAAACTGCACTTGAGAAGATGACTCATCTTTCTCACACAGAGTTACTGTGGATTTAAACCACCAGGGATACTCAACTCAGTCTTTGCGTCAGCAGAACAGCTCCTCATTGTCTGCACTAACAGAATTAGTTCCTCTGCTGTCTTTAATAAACAAAAGGAATCAGATGACGAGGATTTTCACATTTATGAAAAGCAAAAAGAGCCTCTAGCATTTGTTTTCCAGCGAGCTGTTGAAGAGGAGAATGGAGAGTGGCTCTGCTAAGCTCCTTCTGGAATTGGACTGCACAGGCATCATCAGACTGGGCTGCGTTTTTATCGTACCATTCTCACTCTCCTACAGGACAGTGTTATTTTAGGTTTTATGTGTTATTATTTAGTATGATATGGGAGGCTATTTTCTTGGGTCTGGGGACACTCAACATTTTCCCCATGTAAGTTAATGGTAATTGCCTCTTCATTTTAAGCAATTTCAGCTTATGAAAAAGTCCATAGGTGTGTTTTCAAATAACAAGGGAAAGGAAGCTGTTCAGCAGGCTGTTAGGAATGCGGGAGCCCCAGAGCTTGGGACTGGGAGGACAAAATGAAGCGGCACTGACATACAGACCACAGTTCAGCCTGGGGTAAGAGAGCTTCACCATGACAAGAGTCATGTCCCTGTAGACTCTCCTGCTAGTGTGCGTGCTTATAAACCCGTGTTCACTTCATCTCTTGCTTTTGGTGGCAATCCAACGGCACCTCCATTCAGCGGGCACTCAGTCATGTGGAATGACTGGAGAATATGCAGTTGTGTTCCCCCCCCACAAACTCCACCATTAGAGCTGCCAGTCTTGGCCCTTGAAGCAAATCCTTTCTCTGATTGCAATATTGCAGCCTCACTTCTAATATTAGGTGTGATCACAGCTGGCAATGCTTTCCCATTTTGAGGTCTCAAAAATATGTAAATTGGAAAAAAAATCTGCGTCATTTAACTTAAAAATAAAATTACTGCTTCTATTCCTTTCATCCGGACATCCAGTGACACAGGCAGAGGGACGCCTAGGTGAGCAGTTGAGCTTCCTGCAGCATTTTTTTTTTTTTTACAGCTCTCCTCTCCAAGGCTCAAAGCAACAAAGAAGATTGGAGAAAGAGCAAGGTATGACAGTTGGTTATTAAAGCCCGGTTTTCCGTGCGAGGAAGCGAGTATGCCCTAGGGGGCAGCAGATCCCACTGGCCGAGCGGAAAGGCTCCAGAGAGCAGTTGAGAGCTAACCACAGCTCAGCTGTGCACTCTAGGTTCAAGGTCTCAGGTGCCTCCCGTAAACTGCATTCCACATTCCACAAAGGGGGCCCGTGACAGGTGCTTTCGAGGTGGACTTGCCCTGCCCTCCCTCAGCTGCCTGGTTAACTCTCCTTGTGTTTCCTGCAGGTCTCAGCTTCCCATACTGTCTGTGTCCATGAGACACGCCCTTTCTCAAATCAGTTCCTCTTGCTAGACACCTGTCAAAGCTGCATTCTTTACTTCCACATTTATTGCCACACGTGTGTGTGTGTGTGTGTGTGTGTGCGCGCGCACGCGAATGCACAGAAGCAATGTTAACACCTGAGGTGAAAAGTCATTAGGGTTAAAATGATCCTTGAAATAGAACCTATAAATTACAGGATTTGGTGTCTACACTCAAGACAACGTATACCTATTACTGGATAAAACACCCGTATTTAAAACTGCAGAGGCAAAAATTCCGAACTCCTTTTAAGTGCAAAAGGGGAAAATGTTATTAGGTAAACGAGTCAGCAGAGGAGACCTCGACCTTTGCCTGTAAGGTACATGAAAGCAAGCAGGCCTAGTAAGATTTTGTCGCCATCGAAACCTTAGCACCAGGCACAGTGCTGACACTGGTATGTGTTCAATGGTCTAGGTTGAATTATGAACGCCTGAGGCCGCTCAGAGCTAAGCAGCCCGACCCTGTCTTTGTCCACAGGTCAGGAAGGGGTCCCCTGGAGACCTTCGAGCTCCCCCCTGAGGCATGAGTTGCACGTTCCCGCCCAGCCGCGGTCCCAGAGGCGCTGCGTGCGCCCGCCTCCCTATCCACGCACTCATCTCGCAGCCTGGCGGCCCAGCGCGAGCCAGTCGGTCAAGGCGCAGCCCGCCGGGCACGCCGACTGTCCCGTGTGCCTGCGGCCGCTGGGGGGCGCTCCCCTCCCACCCCGCGCGCCCAGATGCGGGCGCCTTAGGGACGCTCGCGGATTCTACTCCCAACTCTAGGCGCTCGCGCCGCCTCCTACCTGAGGGCCGGAGAGGGAGGCGGGCGGGAAGGGCTGAGGGGGCTGAACCGGATTGTGGCAAGGAGGAGGGAGGCTGGAGAGCGAGTGGCCGCGGCGGACGGTCCGGACGCGAGCGCGCGCGCGATCCCGTTCCTCGCTCCCTCCATCGACTCTCGGCCAGAGCCCAGCCTAGCTGCCGCGCGCCACCTGCTTCGCCGCGCCTAATAACAACGGCGCCTGGAGTCAGGTGGCCGCGCGCGGACAGCGCAGCCATTGGCTGGCCTGGGGGCGCCGCGCTTCTGGATTGGCTAGGGGGCGGAGCCTCTGCCGGCGCAGGGGTGGGATTGTGCAAGGCGGCGCGCAGGGAGGGGGCGGGGGCGGGGCCAGGCCGTGGTCCGCGCCTTTGTGCCCGGTGCGCGCTCTCTGCCTGCTCCGGCTGCAGCGCCGGCTGCATCAATAATTCAAAGCGGCGGCGGCGGCGGCGGCAGTGGCGGCGGCGGCGGCAGCGGCAGCGGCAGCAGCAGTTGGGATCGAGCGGCAGTGTCTATGTATCCAAGTGTGGCTGGGCAGCCGCGGCATCTTTGAAGGCTGGGCGGAGCTGGGGAGCTCCGCGGGGGGACGTTTGCCCGGGGAGTGCTTGGAGGCACACTAGTGTCCACAGCGGCGTTGGCGGAGCTGCGCCCGAGCTGAGGAGGGACCTTCGAAGTGGGCTGGGGCGCTGGGGGGGGCCGCCGGTTGGCGCAGGCAGCCCCGGGGGCGGGGGGCGGGGTGGGCGCCGGCGCCGCGATGCTGGGCGTCGTGGAGCTGCTGCTGCTGGGGGCAGCATGGTTGGCGGGCCCTGCCCACGGGCAGAACGAGACAGAACCCATCGTGCTTGAGGGCAAGTGCCTGGTGGTGTGCGACTCCAACCCCACATCCGACCCCACGGGCACGGCTCTGGGCATCTCTGTGCGCTCCGGTAGCGCCAAGGTGGCTTTCTCAGCCATCCGGAGCACCAACCACGAGCCGTCCGAGATGAGTAATCGCACCATGATCATCTACTTCGACCAGGTGAGCGCTCTTTTTTGGACCAACCCCGTGCGGGTTGGGTGGCAGTGGAGGAGGCCTGCTGATGATGCTCCCCAGGGCTCTGCGGAGGCTCGGAAACAAGGGTCTGGGCTGACCCCTACCCACTCCTGTTTCCGTCTCATTCTAGGTACTAGTGAACATTGGGAACAACTTTGATTCAGAACGCAGCACTTTCATTGCCCCACGCAAAGGAATCTACAGTTTTAACTTCCACGTGGTAAAAGTCTACAACAGACAGACCATCCAGGTCAGCCACCTCCGCGGGACTAGACCTTGTTCCCCTATAAGGAGTTTCAAGCCGCGCGGGCGCAGAAGCTGTATAGGAGGAGGAGATCTAGGTGGCAGTTGCATGTACCCAGGGCTGCTTGCAGGGACAGGTTGTGGGGCCTCGAGCTTCTTTGGCTTGGGGTGTCCCCTGCTTCCCAAGACTCTGGGGCTCGACCCCATCCCAGAGTCAGTTTCCTGTCTGCTTCAGAGCACGTCCAGGGGACTTACACGCCTTCCTACCGGAGTCCGGAGTCCGGCGATGTCCTGTAGTGTGTTCTATTAGCACCACAGACAGCTCCCGCTTCCGAAGTCTGGGAAAGGGCCACGACCCAGGTCTTCAGCTTTGCCTCAGCTGTGCGCTTGCTTTCAGCACCACGGACAGAGCCAGCGGCGTCCCTGGGGCTTCGGGCCATACCTGGGCTTTAAAACTTGGAGCTGTTGTATGGAGGGGTGGGGAGAAATGGGACCGGGTTTCGGCCCCTCCCTTGCGTTTATTTGCATTACCCCAGCCCATATCCCACGGGCTCCGAGAGTCCCAGAAGGCCTCTGAGTCTCCCCTTGCAGAGCGATAAGGGTGGAATACGCGGCTAGATGGAGGCCTCCAGGGCCTCTGGCTATTGAAGCCCTGCAAGGGCGAAGTCAGGCGGTGGCAGCGCGGGTGCATTTGCGGGGTGGGGTAGGGGTGGGGAATGGAGCCTGGGCTTTTGAAACTAAGCACAAAATACAGACCAGAGATTGCTAATCACTCAGAAAACTCAGCCCCAGGGTCTGCACTGTATCGGAAGGGTAAGCCCTGGGTTTGGGGGAACTGGGATTTGTTTTGTTTTATTTCCGCATGAGTACTAGGAGCGCAGTTTGCGTGGTTCCTCTTTTAATTGGGGGGGGGCGTAGATACCGGTGGTCTCAGGGCTCTAGCCGCTTCAGATTTCATTAAACTGAGATTTCCACCGGGATTCACTGGTGCGCTCAGCTTGGCGACCCTGTCTTGGTGTGCAAACCTTTCCTCTCACCTAGATTCTCCCTGTCCAGTAAACCCTCGCCAGAGAAGCTGCAGTCCCCCTCTTTCTCCGCGCTCCCCTTTGCTTCCAGGCCTTTAAGGCTGCCGCCCTTGCCCTCAGCAAGTTCTCCGCTCCTCGAGACCCGGGCTGTGAGTGTTGTCTCTGAAGCTGCCTTCCAGGCTGTGAGTGTTGTCTCTGAAGCTGCCTTTCTCTTTTCTCAGGTGAGCCTCATGTTAAATGGGTGGCCAGTGATTTCCGCTTTCGCCGGGGACCAGGACGTAACCCGGGAGGCAGCTAGCAACGGAGTCCTAATCCAAATGGAGAAAGGCGACCGAGCATACCTCAAACTGGAGCGGGGGAACTTGATGGGGGGCTGGAAGTACTCGACCTTCTCTGGGTTCCTGGTCTTTCCGCTCTGATTGGTTGATTAAGAGTATGGAGACAGGGAGAGGGCGAAGGCAGGACCCGAGAGTTCAAGAGGCTGAAATTAAAGAGGGGGAGAAAGCCACAGGACTGGAAACTTCTTACCCCAGCTGTATCCGGGTGCAAGGGCCGAGCCGCTTCGGTCAGACTATGTTGTCCGTTTCCTCGTTAGGAGAAGTCAATTCTGCTTAGCTTGGCGCACTCTTATTTCCAAAAATATATTCGCCTTCCCCATTGCAGTAATCATGAAAGAGACTGTCATTGTTTCTTATTCCCAACGTCCATGGTCCCTACAATTTATTTAAAAGAAGCCTTGAATTTCACTTTATAATGTGAAATACTTTTCTTCTCATTTCCTCTCTGATTCTTCCCACCTGCCAGTTCTAAGTGTCTCTTCCCCTGGCCCTTTATTTCATTAATGTTTTGGTTTTTTAATTTTTGTTTGGAGACGGTTTAAGGTATTTTTTATTTGTTTGTTTTGGATAGGGGAGGGGGTTTTAATTTGACCAATGTTATTCTTCTTAAGAGATGTTCAAGAGTTAATTAGTCGAAGATACATTGTACCTCGGCTGCTTGGCAGCAAAGAAAGAAATCGCCTCTGTGGTGAATGGTTTGAAAAAGTAATATATACATACATATATATATATATCATTTGTACACGAAGAACTCTTCTGTGGAAACTGACTGTATTTCCGTATTTCTATGTTCTATTTGGAGTGATTGTGGAAAAAAAAAAAATCTAAGGCTGTTTGATATTCTGATGCTTGTCAATGCCCTCGTACTCCTTGTGGTCACCAAACGCCAGGAGGTTTTCCCGGATGCTTTCTCTTCCTCTGTAACATTTGTGAACAGCCAAGATTTCATTTTTGCTTTACCGAATAAAGTTGAAGTGGGACTTTTCTTTTCCTGAGACAGCTTTCTGAACTCTTCGCCTGTCCCCAGCTGCGAGATGGGGGCGGCATGGAAAGGTGAGCTTACGAAGGTCTGAGATGGGCAAAGGAGTCCCCAGAAAAAACCGTCATGAGGGGCTGCCTCGGAGGCCCCCCGCAGAATCGACTCTGCACTGGACCAGGCCTGGGAGCTGCCCTACCTTTGTTTCTTGATTTGGCACAAACATAAATAATGTAGCCGAAATTGTAGCAGACGAGGCGCGCCCACCGCCTGGGAGTGAAGTTTGGGCTAAATGCACCAAGAATGTTCTCAATTCAAGGACCCAGACCAGGTGATTCGAAGCCTCGCCACGCCTTCTGCCTGTGGATTTCCCCACCTTAGCCCTGCTCCACTCTTCCCGAAGCATCGAATGTTTTCTACCACCATTTCTGAATCCCCAGTCAAGCCCACCAAAGGACCCGGGGGCGCCCAGGAATCTAAACTCAGTCTAAAGACTTGATCCAAGAGGCCAAGTCCAGGACTTTTTGATTGTATCGAAACATAATCTGAAGGCAAACATGAAATAAAACCGTTTCGTTTTAAATCTGGAAGGCTGACGCACTGGCTTCACAGCAGGGAGAAACTGGGTGTGAGGCCAAGAAGCGCTCTGGGCCCAGCCCTTCCTGCCCCTTCCCCCCCCCACCCAAGGCCTCAGTTCTGGGGAGAAGTTTAATCAGCTTCTGTGATTAATAGCACAACAAACAACATCCCCCTATTATTCCAATGGTTTGCCTGATTTAGGAATTCCTCCACTCCAGGCCTTGGCTGAAGCCCGAATCCATTGTTCGCAATGCCCATCTCGGGCTGCTGTTCTCGAGCACTTTCTGAGCAAACCGGACTGCAGCCAAGGGGACTCCGGGGAGTGAGTAGCCTGTGGGGTGGTTTTGGGTTTCTGAGCCACTGATCTCCCACTTACCGCGTAGGGGAGTGAGGGTTTGGAGGAATAGTGAGCTTTAGTGACATTTTCAGTCTATTTTCATTTTTTTTTTTTTAAAAAAGACTCCCTCTTTCCCTACGTTCCAGGAAGTGAGAGGGGATGGTTGAGGACAGCTGGACTTTGCTGAATAGAATTGAATAGGCCTAACTTTTCTGTCTATGCTAAGTCTGTCTGCCAGGCGTACAGGGACGCTGTTCCTCTATTCCTGGTACTGCATAGGTGGCGGTTAACTGCTTGGATGGGTAATAGTCATCACCTTTCCTTCACTGGGGTGCTGGTGGTAGTCAGGTTTTGTATTGAGGTAAGGGCTGTAGGGCTTCTTGTGTCTCTGGGCCACGTTTGTGTTGGGTGAATAACTTTAGCAAATCTCATCATTTGTGTGGCTGTATAAAGGCTGACGGAATCTAGTCATCTCTGAGCCCCTCCTGCCCTGGGCTTCTGTCATCTACTTCCTGGCCCCCCAGATTCCTCTCTGGGGTTGTGAGCCTGTGTGGCCAGGGCTCCTGAAAGCTAGACGTGTTGGCTGGGCTGTAAGAGAGAGGCAGGGAATGGAAACAATTGGATTCTTTGCATTACAGAATCTCAAATCTCAGGCTTGCCCTGGAGACATAACAGACTGAGGGGAGCAACCAGTACGAAGTATAGGAAGTGCTTCCAGTTCCTGCTGGCCCTTAAGCATCTGGCTCCAGCCTCACCTTTCTCCACCTGCAGACCTGTCTGGGCCTCCTCACCATTTGTATTCTTGTCTCCAGGCCTTTGCCCCCACTTTTCCTTTTGCTCTGAGTACCCTTTCTGTCCTCTACTTTACAAAAGAGTCCAGGCTGCCTCTTGGAAGAGAGCTGTGACAGTGACAGGGAGACTTAGTCTGGGGGGGTTCTAAGCTGGAACCTTTGCCCAGAGTGTGCTTGAAAGATTGGGGCCCCGTTTCTGCAAGCTGCCTTCATCTTTAAGCCAACCCTTTAGCCTGGATGGGGCTGAGAGCAGTGCTTCTCACAGACAGACTTGAGGTTAGAGGCCTCACAGAGCCGACTCCCTCACCTCTGGAGGGCAAGTGAAGATAGTGCTTACCTTTTCCCAAAGCAAGTCAGCCCACCTCCACCTGAAACTGAGCTCTGGCTAGTGGGGGGAGGGGGGAGGTTGTCATATTTAAATTGGTGCACTGGGGTGGTGGGGTGTGAGGAGAAAGGGACCATCTCTCCAGGCACTTCCCCCAAGAGTGTGGCAGGGGAAAGAGGGCAGATTCTAAAGCTCACATCTCAAGGTTTCTCAGCAGCCCTGCTCTTTGCTTTCATCTAAAATAAACACCCATCAGAATGGGGACCCCCGGACCACCCTCTCCTCTATCTGAAAAACTCATCCCCAGCAGGGTTTACTATCTCCTTCCCTCCCCCAGTAATGATGCCACTGCCTCTAAGAAGCCCTCCAAGCCTCACGTCTGTCCTCACCCCTTATTTGGTGGTCCTAGTGGCCTTTCTTGCTTCCCTCGAAGCCCCCAATTCCTTGGAGGCAGCACAGCCTGGCTGCTAGTTTCCAGACCAGGCCCAGGGGTGTAGCACAGGGTACCCAGAGAGGATTCCAGAACCCAGAAATCCAGACTTGACTTCCTAGCCATTTCTCCAGGCTGTGGCACATGCTCCAAGAACCGCCAGGTCTGCACGAGGAAAACCTAGTGCATCACCTGTGAAGGCAAAAAGGAAATAAAAGTGCCGGGTGACAGATGACAGTCTTCTCTGTGAAGCATGTGGGAGGTGCTTCTTGAACCCCAAGCTGCCCCTTACCTCAGCTTGCTCCCCAGTACAGCGGCTTCCTCCTTCAGTCAAATGAATAAACAACAGCCTTCTTCACTGCACTGGGCTCTAAAGCTCAAAGTCAGGCAGGATCTGCTCCTAATGAGAACGGAATTACCCACATGGAGAGGAAGCCCTACTCCCCTCCTCAATTGTTGCCTTAGTAGAGTGGATAGAGACTTTTGGCATAGTGGCTATGAGGTCAGTCACTCTGGATAGAAAGATGCCCTCTCTCCTCCAGGAAATATTTTCAGCCTTGGGAAGGAAAGTGAAGGGGTTTGAATTTGCTTTTTGGTTAATCCAGTAGAGGGAAGATGAGGGGTGAAGGGACCACAGTATGATTTAATCATCCAGGGCTTTGGTGGAGCATTTGGTGACCGGACCAGAACAGGGAAGGAGCATGCGCACCCAGCATTTGAATTCTGGCTAATGTGAGAACGCTCTGTTCCAACGTGAGCTTTCCTTCACTTGACAAAAGCTAGAGGTGAACAACCAGATGTCTAGGGTTCCTTCCCTGGGATCATCCTTTCCTGGGACTTTGGGTCTATGATGTCTACTCACTCCACACCAACTCTCAGCACTCCTACCCTGACCCAGAAGGCACTGAGCTTTCCCCTCTGCACTCGTACGTGCACTCAGACATAAGAGTGACACTTAACTACCAAATCTGTGGGTACCTCACCTCGCCCTTGCCCTAGGTGCCATTGAGCCAGATGGAAAGCACAATTCTGGGAGCCTAGTCTGTGGGGAGTTGCCTAGGTCACGTGTCTGAGGGTTGGAATCCACCAATTAGTTGTTCAGAGGAAGAAAGATGTCTCCTCTCATGCAATTTACAGCTTCCGAACCCTGCCACAAGGTCGGCTGTAAGTCAGTTCTAACTGGACAGAGGAGCTGAATTTGATGTCAGAAACAAAGGTTTCTGAGGCAATGACTTCCTTTGGGACCTTTGAGTCTTTGCAAAGGTTCCTTAATGAGAACACATCACACCATCTGAGTCTTAGTTTCCGCCTATTTAAAATGAGGAATGACTGTTCATTATTCGATGCCTTTCACAAGTAGTTGTGGCGGTTGTGTTAAGAGGTATTAACACTGCTCACCAATGGCTGGCCCATAGCAGGTGCTGTATAAATGGTAACAATGGGAAGAAACAAGAGATGCCTGGAGAGTGAGATAGTATTATAGAAACAGAACATAGGCCAAAAAACCTGGGAAAATCCTGCATGGAACAGGTGGGAAGACTGAAACCAGAGACCACAAGGATTTGCTTGAGAGAGCAAATAAATGAAAGAATTATGAGGAAGAGAATGCTCTGTCCTTTCTTCTGCATTCTCACCACTTCCCT